CTGGCCAATAGTGAAAATGTATTTCTTGCTCATTATACATGTCTATCACAGGTCAGTAAAAGTCTCTGCTCCACATAGTCACTCAGAGACCCAGGTTAGCCAATGCCCACCAACTTATAGATGCCCCATAGGGAATACACAATTTCCTCAATCAGGAGAAAAAAAAAAAACTAGAAAATTATACATAGACTTTTTACTACCTCTGCCCGAAGATCAATTTTGCTTTCATTTTATTGGCCAAAGCTAGTCATACGAGCTCACTAACTACAAGGGGGCTGGAAATCGCAGGAGGATCAAATGAAACAATTGAAAAGTGTTACTGGCTCTGTTACAAATCATATAATAATTTTCTAGGCTTTCATTTATCTTCTAGTCCTTTGACTTAGAGGGAAAAATGAATTATTGGTCACAGTGAATAAACTCACTATAAAATTTTGTTTTGTTTTGCTTTCGATGCCCATTTAGAATCTGTATATATTTGCATTTGCTTAAGCATTATTCTGGAGGTGGGGAAGTGGTTTTTTGATGTATCAGCTAACAATTTCCATTGAGGCAAAATAGGAATCTGTAATATTCACTCTTTTACATTTTTATCTTTATGATTTGACACTATGATTTAGATGTATGACCCTCCTCTGAAAATAAGAAAGATACTCTTTTATATGTAGATAACATGCCTCTATTTCAGGTACTCCAAGATTGGCTTTAAGAGAGAATCAACCTTCCTACACCATTACTTCCCAAAATAGAGCTAGAGACCAAGTACTCTAAAATTAAAGTCATTATTTTTGTTCAATATCATCCAACATTAAATGGGTTCATAATTTACAACTGCATAAGTCCATTATCAATATTTTACAGTTTAACTTAATATGTTCACCAGGAAATTATATTTCTTAAAGTTACATACTCTGTGGTTCCTTTTCTGAAATAGTTTTATGGCTAAGGCCAATGTTCAATTATAGTTGCTCAAAAGTTTTTCCAGGATAAAATAATTCTGGACATGATTAGAGTGAAGGAATTTGACCTTCTGAGAGCTCATTTGTCTGTGTTTTAGAACTCACCACATATTACTTTTGGAGAAGAATCTTGCCCTCTGCAAAGGTGTTGCCACAGGCATCTCTGTGCAGAGGTGAGGTGGGTGCTTTATTAGGATCCTGAATTGTGCTCCCAGTCATTCCTAACTGATACCTGAGTAAGCTACTAAACGACTAATGATGGGGTAGCATATACAGGTTGTTTATGCTGGACAAAGGGATGATTCACATCCCAGGCAGGACAGAGTGCAATGGCAGGAGATTTCACCATGCTGCTCAGAACAGCCTACAATTTAAAATGTATGAATTATTTCTGGAATTTTCCATTGAGTATTTTCAAATCATGATTGACTGTAGTAAATGAAATCATGGAAAATGAAATCGTAGATAAAGAGGGACTACTGTACTCACAGTTATGGCCTGATCTTAACAAGAAAATGAAGGTCTCTCACTATGTTCTGTGCTCCAATCTTGCTCTTAGCTTTACGTTACTTCTTTTTTTTTCTTCTTTTTTTACTTTAAGTTCTGGGATGCATGTCCAGAACGTGCAGGTTTGTTACATAGGTATACATGTGCCATGGTGGTTTGCTGCACCTATCAACCCGTCATCTAGGTTTTAAGCCCTGCATGCATTAGGTATTTGTCCTAATGATCCCCCTCCCCTTTCCCCCAACCCCCTGACAGGCCCCAGTGTATGATGATGTTCCCCTCCCCGTGTCCATGTGTTCTCACTGTTCAACTCCCACTTACGAGTGAGAACACGCAGTGTTTGGTTTTCTGTTCCTGTGTTAGTTTGCTGAGAATTATGTCTTCCAGTTTCATCAGTGTCCATGCAAAGGACATGAACTCATTCTTTTTTGTGGCTGCATAATAGTCCATGATAAATATGTGCCACATTTTCTTTATCCAGTCTATCACTGATGGGCATTTGGGCTGGTTCCAAGTCTTTGCTATTGTGAACAGTGCTGCAATAAACATACATGTGCATGTGTCTTTATAGTAGAATGATTTATAATCCTTTGGGTAATGGGATTGCTGGGTCAAATGGTATTTCCAGCTCTGGATCCTTGAGGAATCATCACACTGTCTTCCACAATGGTTGAACTCATTTACATTCCCATCAACAGTGTAAAAGCGTTCCTAAACCCTGATGTTCCATTTACTCTGGTTCCCTCATTTTATTTTGCTTTATTATTTGTAGCTTTTTAAGCTGTTAAAACCTTTTTGGAACCACACAAGGTATCAACTGACCTTTCAAAGTTTACTAATAAAAGGCCCGATGTGGTGGCTCATGCCTGTAATGCCAGCACTTTGGGAGGCTGAGGCAGGCAGATCCATTGAGGCCAAGAGTTCAAGACCAGCCTGGCCAATGTGGTAAAACGTCATCTCTACTAAAAATACAAAAATTAGCTGGGCTGGTGGTGCACACCTGTAGTCCCAGCTACTCAGGAGGATGAGATAGGAAAATCACTTGAACCTGGGAGGTGGAGGTGGCAGCGAGCCAAGATGGCACCACTGCACTCCAGCTTGGGCAAGACTCTGTCTCAAAAACAAGCAAACAAACAAACAAAAAGTTCACTAATAAGAAAGCATACATTAGTTATAGAAAACTTGACCTAGTATATTCCCTTCATAATACGGAATCTAAACATTTTTTAGTGATAGTCACTTACCGATGAAAGCTATTAAAATTATCCACTTGCCAAAATGTATTAGGACACAAAAATTGTAGTACAAGTTTAGAGGGCTTGTGCCCCACGCTGAGTGCACCCACAAAATCCCAGGTTGAGAACCCATTCTCTGTGGGGTTTCTCTGATGTTTACTTCAGCGGATTCACCTTCCCCAAACCTTAAATAACCAAAGCACAGTTTTCAAATGGGACCGACATGCCCCTGGAGGTACTCTACGACTTTTCAAGGGATAAAGGGGCATGAATAGTTTTAAGATTATCAATTTCCAAATCCTCAAATTCCATAACTATTCTTTTCCAAACTTGATCTTCTTGACAACACATCATGGTCAAGATATCATGCCTGTTCTTTCTTGCTATCTCTCCTCACCTTTCACAGCTGCATTTCAATTATTACAAAAGAAAGACGTGTCTTTCATGCATTCCAAAACTGTATTGAATCACCCTGAGAGTGAAAATTCTAGAGTGAAAACACAGGGATAATTCAAAATATCTGTGTTGATATTTTAACTTTTAAGTGCCAAAGTACGTGTGCAGGATGTGCAGGTCTGTTACATAGGTAAGCGTGTGCTGCACAAATCATCCCATCACCTAGGTATTAAGCCCAGCGTCCACTAGCTATTCTTCCTGATGCTCTTCCTCCCCTACACCAGCTGCCTCCCCACAGGCCCCAGTGTGTGTTGTTCCCCCGCATATGTCCATGTATTCTCACCATTCATCTCCCTCTTACGAGTGAGAACATGCAGTGTTTGGTTCTCTGTTCCTGTGTTAGTTTGCTGAGGATAATGGGATGAAGCCATCTTTAATGAAGACACCATAAACGCATAGTAGGTCTCAGCACTTTTCTCTGTCTTAAACCTATTCCTTTTTAAAAAAAAAAAATCTTTAGGGGATCCTTTATTTCATTCACCTCCTCCTTACAAGGTGAAATTTTCATCTGACAGGTTGTGTCTGCCAATTCAGTCCATGGCTCAGAATATCACCTTGTCCTCATTCCATAGTATAAGCTGTTCTGGGGGAAGAGGCCGAGGGTCATGGATTCACTGGACTGGATGGGCCATGATCCAGAACTTCACTACATTTGGTTTCCCAAGGATCCCACCACCTCCTTCTAATCAGTGATCATCGAGGAAACACATTGTATTCCTATTCACTGTTTCAAAGATCAGGCCTACCTCACTGGCACACCAAGAAAGTTTCCTCAAGTATATTTAGTGTTTATCATTTTCCTATAGTTCTTCAAATGTCTGACATTCATCTTTTTCCCTACCTCTACATTCCTTTCTTTTTCACATTATCTTTCTTGATTGCTTTTTAGTAGAAAAACAAAGACATGGATTTATTGTGCATATTAGCAGGTCCATCCTGGAAAATGCATGGAGGTTTCATACACACCACTTACAGTAAGAGCTCAGAGTATAAAGTCGAGAAGGAAGAATCTGAAATATTAGACTTATTCTGAAATAAGCTTACCTAGGATGATACCACTTTTGATAAGAATTTCCACTTTCCAACTAGTTAACAGTGGCAAATATATAAAATCTGGTAGTTAAAATACATGGCAGTCACTTCATATTACTGCCTCCTCCAACCCACCCAACTTCTGAAGAACAGAGCTTTGTCAAGTTTTGTTCTCCTTTAAGTTTTAATTTAAAAAAAAAAAAAAAAATTGAGACAAAGTCTTGCTGTGTCACCCAGGCTGGAGTGCAGTGGCACGATCTTGGATCACTGCAATCTCTGACTCCCAGGTTCAAGAGATTCTCCTGCCTTAGCTTCCCAAGTAGCTGGGACTACAGGTGCCTGCCACCAAGCCTGGCCATTTTTTTTTTTTTTTTTTTTTTTTTTTTTTTTTTTTGTATTTTTTTAGTAGAGACGGGGTTTCACTATGTTGGCCAGGCTGGTCTTGAACTCCTAACCTCGTGATCTGCCCGCCTTGGCCTCCTAAAGTGCTGGGATTACAGGCTTGAGCCAGGGCGCCCAGCTGGGGAAAAAAAAAAAACAAAAAAAAATTTTTAAAAAGTCGTGTTGTACGAATATATCCCCAGAGAGAACTGCAATTTACCAAGGTTTTCAAGTGTTTTGGGAGAAATCTTACTGAAAGAATAGTGATGTCCATGTTCCAGTAAATACTAAGTGAAAAACAATTTTTATACCCCAATCTGAGGTATAAACTTGCTTTTTGTAGGAACACAACTGCTGTAAATTAGACAATTGAAGCAACCATCCAAGACAATAACAACGCCTATGACAGTCTGCCATATTCTGGTGTCTATCAAAGCTCATGATGATTCTTTGTGAGATCTTCCCCCATAATTGGTAGCTTGGCTTCCAACAAACATGTTCCAGTTCTCCAATATTTCCTCTTTAGCCTCTCATCCTTGTTTTTGTCTGACTCATATACCAGATGCCTGGCCTCAGCCTGTGCGTGATCATAATCTTGAGGGAGGATCCAGTGACGAATCTCGTCTTTGTCCAACTTCCGGACCTTGTTCGATCTCAGAATTTGTTAAATTGCTCCCGTTCTGATAAAACCCAGTCTGGCTCAGGGTCATTCTCCTCATGGGAAAACATACCCGCAATATATTCATCCTGATCCACAAACCCATCCCTGTTCTTGTCGATGTCCTCCAGGGTTTTCAAAACCACAATTTCCTTCATATGCTCAAACTCTTCAGGATGCAGAAAGGCAGTGAACTCCTCCCGCGTAGCTGTCAGGTCACCATCGAGGTCCGCAGCTTTGAATCTTCTCTCGTCACGTGGCAGCATCTTTTTAAAGGTGTGATGATCTGAAGAATCATGAAACTCCGCGGGGTTTCCTAGGTAGTAACCATAGGTGGCTTGTTTGTATTCTTCCTAGGAAATTTTATCATCCTTGTCCCTATCATAATCCTGCCAGACTTTGGCGACATTATCGAAGATGTGTCTTTTCTGCATCCGTTTGATACAGGTTTTCAGCTCCTCAGTAGTGACAAAACCGTCTCCATCATTGTCGATTCGATCAACAATCTTCCCCAGTCTCTCCTTGCTCTTGTCCGGGGTGAGCTGGTCCAAGGTCTTGGAGTCCTCCTTGCCCAGCAAGGCTTCCTGGCCGTACTGGAAGCTCTGGTTGTCCCCTAGAGGCCGCTCGCCCAGCTCCGAGTCGGGCCGCACCACGCGCTCCTTGCGCACGGTGGGATTGGCCCGCAGCGCCCGCAGGCCAGCAGCAGCGCCAGCAGCAGCCCCAGGACGAGCCCCAGGCGGCGGCCGCCGCGCGCCATCGTCCCGAGGAGAGGGCGTCCGGGAGAGAGGCGCCGAGTGAGCGACGACAGCGGCAGCTCGGGAATGCGGGCTCGGAGCGCGGCGGCAGCCGCGGGGCTGGGACCGGCGCGGAGGAAGGGACAGGCCAGTCCCTCCGCCACGGCCTGACCCGCGCCGGAGCAGAGGTGCGCGTCCCCCGGTCCTGGGACTGGGAAGCTGCGGGCGGCCAATCTATTTCTATTCATAGTGAACCATAGATGTATGCTTGGGTAGGGCAGCAAAAATCATGGCAGTTTCGGTCAACAACCTCATCTCTTCCAACTTCTACACATGATCACAAAATGCATTATCCCTGACGATAGATTCTTCTCGAAGGAAAACAAAAGAGACTCAGACAAGTGGCAGTCCCTTATTTCATTCTGTAACAAACCCCTGCCAAAGCTTCATGACTTACCTAAATATTTATCTTAGCCTTAGAATTGGGAAGGAAGATTATAATGATTGGGATGTATATTAACTCAAAAATGAAGTCTTTTTTTTTTATTCTGATGGAAAGTAAGCGTGAATCTCCACACAGTGACTCATACCTGTAATCCAGCACTTTGGGAGGCTGAGGTGGAAGGATTGCTTCAGTCCAGGAGTTCAAGACCAGTCTAGGCAACATTTCTAAAATGAATGAATGAATGAATGAATGAATGAATGAATGAATGAATAAATAAATAAATAAATGTAGTCCCAGCTACTCAGAAGGCTGAGATGGGAGGATTGCTTGAGCCTGAGAGATAAGGCTACAGTGAATTGTGATCGCACCACTTCATTCCAGCCTAGGCAACACAGCAATACCCATTCTCAAAAAAAAAGAAAAAAGAAAAAAGAAAGTATGATTTGGCTTATTAGTTTGACAAAACGATGGTTTGGCCAATTATTTTACACGTTGGACGTTATCCATACATTGAATGAACTAATCCTGAAGCTCCAAGAATTTTTTTAAAATAAATAAATCACGTATCAGGTGAAATATTATATTTGCAAAGGTGAACTAACAACTTTTAGATTTTCCTAGCATTTTCTGTGTATATTGAGATGCCTCCAAGTGAAAGAGTAAGAGTAACAAATAATCATCTGATAACTCTTAGTGAAGCCTCTTTGGGAGACTTCCCAGAAATGAAATTACTCTAACCGAGCAACAAATATACTTGCCAGTTAGGTAGTTTCTAATTCCACGATTTCAACAGAATTGAAGGAGCACCTAATTGTGTTGTCAATGAGATAATTTAAAATAAAAATGTGGCCTGGTTCAGTGGCTCACGCCTATAATCCCAACACTCTGGGAGGCCGAGGTGGACAGATTGCTTGGGCCCAGGAGTCTGAGACCAGCTTGGGCAACATGGTGAAACCCTGATCTCTAAAAAAAAATAAAATAAAAATTAGCCGGGCATGGTGGCACGTACCTTGAGTCCCAGCTATTCAGGAAGCTGAGGTGGGAGTATCGCTTGAGCCTGAGAGTTTGAGACTGCAGTGAGCTGTGATTGTGCCACTGCACTGCAGCCTGAGTAATAGAGTGAGACCCTGTCTCAAAAAAGAAAATTAATTAATTAAAACTAAACAATAAATAAAATAAAAATACAATTTTTTAGCATGTAACTTGAACGAAGTTTTAAATATTGAGTAATACTGCCACAATAAAACCTTCTATTCCCATTAGTTACTTATGGGAGTAAAGATTTCTCAGATTGTACATCATTAAAATTAAAAAGTAGAATCGATACTAAAAATCCCATTTTCTTCTAGTGATAAGTAATCGTAAGTAATAGTAATCCAGAGACAAACTTAAAATGTGGGTAGTAAGAGTCGCTACATCATAGTGTTGCTGCGAAGAGTAAGTAAACTAAAAGGAAAAGGATTTAGACAATGCCTGGCACATAATAAAATTCAATGTATGTTAACTACTACTATTATTATTCCTATTATCATTATTACCACCGCAGGTGGCATAGAGGTGGCAATGATATAACTAACAGCTATTTCCACATGCATTTCCAAAATGGTTTATATTAATAATTAGTTACCAAATCGTAACATATATACCTTGTTTTGGTATGTTGGTACTGAAAATCATTTTAATACCTCAATCTAGAAAAGCATTTTTAGCATACAGCCCTATAATCACAGAAAATAAAAGTGCCTTAGGTTCAGTTTTTATACATATTTTTTATGGAGAGAAGTATAAAATGATTTATTAAATATTTCTAAGCATTAAAATATATTACTTTAGGGTAAAATACTTTAGGGAAATATAATTGAAATGAGTTCAAGAAAAAAGCTGACGATGTGCATTTCTATGTTAAAGAAGAGTTTGTGCATGTATTTTTTAATGGTTTATGATAAATATTAAATAGGTACAGCTTTTGGAATTCATATGATATATTTTAAAAAGTGATATAACCATTTTACTTTAAAATGTCAGAATATGCAGAAAAGTATACACTTTGCAACCACTTAAGCCTACATTGGAAAATTTTCTTAAAAATTTTATTGACCGGGCACATGTATTTTGAAAATATTAAGAAGAACACTTCCCTGGAGCTCCGTCTTTGATTTTCCACTCAACTGTACAACCACCTGAGTTGTAGAGTTAACTCACACTCATTGTTCAATTAGTCTCTTTATAATCAACTCTAACTGCTGAAGGAGTCTCTGAACAGGCATCTCTGCATGTGACCTTTCATTTAGTTTATATTCCCAAGTATCTATGGAACATCTCCAGTTATTGTTTTACTGACAACCTCAAGCATGAGTTGTTGAAACCAACCTTATTTCTCTTCCAAACTCTTACTCTGTATTTGCTAGTACATTTTTTAATGACAAAGAACCCGATACAAATGAGGTTTGTTAAAGAGAATCTATTGCCTCACACAACTAAAACCTTGAGTAAGAGAGAGAGTTTGGACATGACTGGATTCAAGGCTCAAGTCTTATTTTCAGAGTTTGGCCTCTCTCCACACCCTGACTTTTTCTTCTATTGTGGTGGTAGCAGGCAAAGTGTCCATGTGATAGCAAGTGGCTGCCACAACTCCAGATTTAACAGTCTCTGAGCTCTAAACTCAGCAGGCAAGAATATCAACCTCCATCTTTCATCAAAAGGGACCAGGCGCAGTGGCTCGTGCATGAAATCCCAGCACTTTGGGAGGCCAAGGCAGGTGGATCACTTGAGACCAGGAGTTCGAGACCAGGCTGGCCAACATGGTGAAACCCCATCTCTACTAAAAATACAAAAATTAGCCAAGCATGGTGCACGCGCCTGTAATCCCAGCTACCTGGGAGGCTGAGGTGGGAGAATCACTGGAACCTGGGAGGTGGATGTTGCAGTGAGCCAAGATGGTGCCACTGCACTCCAGCCTGGGCAACAGAGCAAGACTCCATCTTAAAAAAAAAAAAAAAAAATCCACTAGACATTCTCACTTCCGCTCCAACCTAGTTCTACAATGACTCTTTCTCTAGTTGGTCCCCATACTTATTTTGTCACTGGAATATGATGGTTGTTAACAGTGAAGACAGAAGAAGCTATCTGGGCTTAAATTCCACCTCCATGCTTTCCTAGCTCTGCAGAATTTGGGCTGGTTTACTGAACTACTCTGTGCTTTAGTCCCTTCGCCTATAAAATGAGAGTAGTAGTAGTACCCTCTTCATAAGGTTGCTGTAGGAAGTAAATAAGCTAATTTATATAAAACACCCGGATAATATCCGGCACATAAAAACTGCCGTATGTACATTAGCTATTGCTATAAAAAAATATTATTCCCCCTACATTTATCACAGAGGTGACAAAGATTAGCAATGGGAGCATTTTAGCCCATGCACATCAGTTCACGCCTGGTCTCACACTGCTTTTCCATCTTTATTTTCTGTTATGAGCCAATATTCAGTTACTCTAGGAGGCTGTCATCCATTTTTCCTCACATTCCCTGTATTTACTATTTTCTGTTTCTCTGTTTTGTTCAGTCTATTGATTTTTCCTGAAATGCTTCTGCTTTGTATATCTAGGATGCCGTGGTTTGGTATCAGTGTTTATGTTTCTTTTGATTTGGTTTGTGCTAAAATAATTGCAGGCTGAGTTGCAATTTTCGAACTAATAAAGGGCGAAATAGTCAAAAGCATACCTGTTCCTAGTCTGACGCTTGGTAATAGCCAATGCAACCTTTTTTTCTAGCAGCAAAATTGGGAAATTGTTGAGAAAGAGAGATAGATTGAGAAAGAGATATTGAGAGAGAGACATTGAAAGAAAGGGAGCAATACTGAAAGAGAGAGAGAAATCGAGAGAATGCTACTGGTAAACAGATACACACGCTCGCGTGCATGCGCGCGCGCACACACACACACACTTCATTATGAAACCTGAGCAGAACACGCTGTTAACTGTTCGGGAGCAAACTGGAGTTTGATGGAGTGAATTAGTATCCTGGAATGAATAGGCTAAACATCCCATAACTGAATTACTCTGATCTCCTGACAATCTGTGGGACCAAAAGTGTGTGCTAAATAGGATTACTTACTTCTTCTACTTTGTCAAAAACAAGGACACTTGAAAAAGTTGTGGAAATTTTGAGTGTGTTCCTATGACCAGCTTCACAAGACAAGATTGTCCCAATGGTTCTGTGCCTAGAGTTACTCTGGGGGAATGTCTACATAACTCCTTTCGGAGATACCATAACTGTTCCTTTGTACTCTATACTTTGTGCAAAACAGATTGTATGACCTCAATTATAGTTGAAAAAGTATTACTTGGCACAACTCTATAATTCTTAGCCAAAACTGAGTTTTGGCATTTTAAAAAAAAGTAATATAGGTTTGCAATCCCACGATTCTACATCTGAAGTCTAAAACTCTCCTAAAATTGAAAATGCATTCATAACTCACTTGGCAGCAAAACCTGTTCTGATCTGGACTCATTTAGCAGTAAATCCTGTCTGAAATTGAGATCATTTATAATGTTTATCCCACTTTGTATCAACATGTTTAGGTAAACTTGTCTAACTTTTATATATATATCATATATATATATTTTATGTATATATATCTTATATCCATATATAGTGAAACTGAACAGATGTAAAAACGTCTGTCAAATAGTCTTCCTTTCACTGTGCATTTGATCTATTAGATAGGGGCTGAGGTTAAAGCTGGATTTTAAAACATTTCAAATGGATAATGATGAGCACCAT